TCCAACATGACCAAAATCAACGCGCAGCACATCGTCGACATCATACAGTTCAGCCTCGACGGCTGCGCCTTCACAGCCATCGGGGAAGCATTCCGACAAACCTGCGGCACCTCCATGGGCAATCAGATCAGCCCCATTCTGTCGACGTGCGCGATTGTCTCGACGGAAATCACATGGCTTCGCCTGTATGGGCAACACGTCGCCAGCGCACACCTGGCCGACCAACTCTGGATCCGCAGGTACGTCGACAACCGAGCGATCATCGTCGACAAGGAAGCACTTCACACCAACCCCTACATCTGGCAGCTAGCGTCGCTACAATTCTACCAAAAACCGGTACAGCTTGAGGACGAAAACTGTGACGATTTCTTGGGTTTCGCATCAACGCGAACAACAGACAGGTCAGCTACATTCTTCACTCCCAGCCGTGGCGATACCGGCTACCGCAGTCAGCAGGCTCGCGCAAGCTTCGCCTCAGCGGCTAACACAGCAGGAGACATATGATTGAAAGCACGGTATTCCCGCAGTCCCTAGCTCAACAGCAGCTTCAAGCGCTGGACGACCTCTACTTCAAGCTTGGATTTCGAGACTTTGCCTAAGGCATAAAGCAAAAATATGGCGTGCTTGGAAAAGTTTCACTTGGTTACAGAGCTTTGTCATGTTTTATGAATCCCACCTCAGCTTTTTGTTCCCAAGTCTAAGCTATGCCGTCCAAGCGGTCCAGCAAGAAGCCACACGATGATGTCGAGTTGACGGGTGTGGACACAGATTCAGACATGGATCTGCAGCCAGTTCGACTACCCCACGGGCTGCCACTGGATGAGCCACCACCGTGTTTGCCTCTGAACAGTCATACAGAAGTTGAGCAGGTTTGCCATCAGCACCTCAGCAACGGCTACATCCCTATGTCGGTGTTTCCGTGGTTGGCGCAGAAGCTGCTACCACGCTGGATCTGTTGGTATTCGGACCAATACCAGGAAGTACCCATGGACCTCGGCTCTCCTTGCTCATATGGTTCGAGCATGCACGCACACAAACTTCTCCACCATCTCGCTGCTGCACAACGTGAACATGGCCACTCACGTCGATAAGTACAATCAACCAGGCTCCACCAACGTGCTGGTGCGACTTTCACCATTCCGACGAGGAGAACTTTGGCTACTAGAAGAACAAGGACCAGACCTATCCCCGAAAGGACAACATCAAGGACGCAACCATCTTGTTCGCCTACCAAGTTTGGAGTTTGACCCCTTCACCAAGCACGCTACCTGCCCGTGGAAGGATGACAGACGGGTCTTATCAGCATACACACCACTACGAACACTCTCCGACATCGACCATCTTGTGAGCCTTGGGTTTAATTTGTAATTCTTTTCGCGCAACTTGTAATTCAACTGTTTTGCAAATCCTTAAGCACCTGCAACGAGCAACAGCCGAAAAATCGAGGCAGCAGAGCCTTCACAGCCGCACGTGCCCGTCCCAAATTTCAGCCTCAAGCTGGTAGAGGAAATCGCGATCTCCCTCGAGTACCCCAGCATGGATCTATACAGATGGATGGAGCAAAGAGCCTCGGGCCGCGCTCCTCGTCGCCGACGACTCAACCCTCGTGAGGACCTCCCGGAACATCTGCAACTGCATCACTTACCCCTCAAGGATGTTCTACAGATGGAGCAACAGGTGCATGTGTGGTCCTGTCGGACTCGGCGTCCGGACCAATGTCATCGTCAGAACACTACGAATCAAGAATACAATCACGCCCTCAGAGTCAAGTCGACTCTACTTGCCGATGCACACGGCCTGGCGTGCGACATGGCCATCCAGCACACCGAGATCACCGCCTACGCCCTCTTGGAAGTGACGCACGACCTCCGCACGCTCATGCACCTCGCGCAAGTCAACAAAGTCACGTGGATCCACTGCAGCCAACTCCTCAAGTCGACACACACAGACTTCAAGACCCAGGCGAACGCCCCATGGCACAAACGCGCAGGTCGTGCCATAGATGCAAACCATGAGGAGACGCCGATCGACATCAAGACGTACCTGTTCAACAAGCGCATACACACGTGGTACCAGTACCATCATGAGCTTTCATATCAACAATACATGGATCTTCAAGTGCGTGAACTCCTGCGCCTACCACAGACGGCATGACGCTTGGTGCAAAAATCAAGATGCGCACATTAGAGGCTTGATTGTCTGTAAGTCAAGCTTGCACTCCCTGTCGTGTTTCCGACCATAGCCACTTGTTAAGCTTAGCAGTCCTAAAGACCATGGACGCCGTGGCACCTACAACTCCACCGTCATCATCCAGCTCGTATGACTACTCCGACGAGGGCGACACCTACGCTGCACAGCATGTGTTAACCAACGCAACACTGCTCACAACCATTCTCAAATTCCACACGGAGATCCGAGTCAGGATGGTGGCTGTGAGCGTGGAGGACACCCCCGCGGCCAGGCACGCCAATCAAGCCATGCAAGGAGCCATGGACGCGATCGTGCAACAGCATCCTCAAGCCCAACACACGACGGTGATCCGCGATTATCGCCCTCAGCACACTCTCATCGAGAAGTTGGTATCGCCAGACATCGTCTACAGCCTGCTGCTCACGAACCTCCAGGTGAGATGCACAACCCGGGTAGCCACCCTGGACAGACGCCTCACACACGGGCTCTTCTGCTCGCGAAACATGAGCGAGTCCCTCAGGCGCCTAAGACCGAGATTATCTATGGAAAGCCCCTTCTGTCCTTTGCCAGTACGAGATATGCTTTATCATGAAGATCTTCAGCGATGGACATGCGTGCAATCGTCTCAGGCGGAAATTCTATCCCTGAGGGTCGGCGAATACCAGTAAGCCCACAAGATCGTGCGCCATGCAGTCGCAAAACGACAACAGTCTTTGAGCATAGTTTGCTGCTTTCCTTGCACTGTTGCTTTTGAGGTCCCACCCCACCCTAATCAGACTTACGCAGCTGCTCAGCTCTCACTCGCGCAGCCGACATGAACAATGCGAGGGACACCGAGAACGATGACTACCCCACGTCATGGAGGTACTACTGAAGCAAAGTCAACAACCAATGGCAGCGAGTCTGGTTTCCAGTAACAAGAGCATGGTTGTTCGAAAAAGAGCAGAAATACCGTAATAGAGCTCAACAGCGGCAACAGGATACCGATCAATATCAACAACGGCGAGATCCTGGGGCAACTGTTACACCGGCGGCCAGCACTTCCAGTACGACTTCTGCTACGAGGAAGAGGAAAAGAAGCCGCACCCCATAATGTGGATGAGACGTGCCAATTAGTATTTTGCTGTGCCTGTAAGTGCACAGCCACCAGGATGAAAGCCGCGACTCGCCATAGGCGATCAAGATAGCAATGCATGCATAAAAGATTCCTCTTCGAGGTGCGTGTGTGTGCGGAACCCAAACTACAACGGGATCGTGCGGCTGTGACCTTGAGCATGTCATTGTTTCTTCCGTGCAGGGGGCCCGAGGACTCATCATACAGCTCGGGCCAACGAAGCTCTGTATGATGCAGTCAGGTAAACGTACCTGCAGATCAGTTCCTGGGTGCAGATAGCACGGCTGGAAGGATCAACCCTGTCTGTGCATGAGTGATCGGCAGTCTGAGTGCATGCAAAGTTTCAGGTCACAGGTGATGCTTGGCTTCGTTCTTAGTAAATCAGCAGCAAGGAAACATGAGCCTATTGAAGACCTCCCACAACATTTTCGTTTTCATCTTTGATGCCTCCTCTGAGTCTCTGACTCTGTTTGGAGTTGATATCACTCGTGAGAACTCACACCAGGGTTTGCCTGGAGTTCGAGTGTGATTGGGCATGGCCTTCCGTCATGGCGCCATTACCGCTGCTCTCGAGGCAGTATTCCATTGAAACAGTG